ATAGGTTCCAAAGCTACACAGAGAAACCCTGTCTGGAAAAACAAAAAAATAAAATAAAAAATTAAAAATCAAAAAATAATAACTAATAATAAAAAGACAGGATTTCTCTATGTAGCTTTGGAGACTGTCCTGGAACTCACTCTGTAGACCAGACTGGTTTCAAACTCAAGAGATCTGCCTGACTCTACCTCCCAAGCACTGAATTAAAAGGCCTGTGCCACCACTGCCTGGCACAAATCTCTGATGTGTAAAGCTACCCAGTTTGCCATATTCTTATTACAGCAACCTTGGAGCTAGGAAACTAATACATCATATAATGGAATTTTTTTAGACATAAAAATAAATTAGGTACCAATACAACCTTTGAAAACATATTAATTAAAAGAAGCCAGACAAGTATACTATGAGGTATATATTAGATAAATGGTTGTCTAGGAAAGGTGAGGTGAGATAGAGGTTAGAAAAACAGTGACTGTTAACAGGCATGATTAATTTGGGAGTGGTGAAAATATTCTAAAATTGCTTGTTGTTGTATTGGAAGGAAAACGTACCTCATAGGAATTTTAATTTATATTCAGCTTATCACTAGTGATGCAAAGTATGTAAGGGCTGTTTCTGGTTTGTTTGTTTTGGTTTTTCAACAGGGTTTCTCTGTGGCTTTGGAGGCTGTCCTGGAACTAGCTCTTGTAGACCAGGCTGGTCTCGAACTCACAGAGATCCGCCTGCCTCTGCCTCCCAAGTGCTGGGATTAAAGGCGTGTGCCACCACCACCCAGCTTGTTTGTTTTTTAATGTGCATGAGTAACTGCATGTATGTCTGTGTAACACATGCAAGCAGAGCTCTTGGAGGCCAGAAGATGAGGGATTCGCTGGACATGGAGTTATAGATGTCTGTGACTTGCCATGTGGGTGTTGGGAACTGAACCTGAGTTCTCTGGAAGAGCAGCCAATACTTTTTACTGGTGCAGCATCTCTCTAACCCCTCTGGTTATTTTTTAAATCCTTCAAAATTTTTGATCATGTAGCTGTTGGGTTGCTTCTCTTTTACTAAGTGGGATGATTTCTGAATTGGCATTAAATGTCTTTCCTGCTTTGAAAAAGTAAAAAAAACAAACAAAAAACTGATAATGGTGAGAGCTGTAAAACTCTGTGAAAACACTAAAAAACATTAAATTGCATACTTCCAGTGGGTAAATTGCTTTGTGAGTGAACAGTTCAAATCTACTTTATAAAATGATTAACAATAGTGTGACATTACTAGGAAGGAGTAGTGATACTAGAAACAGATTAGAAAAGAACTGTTACACGTGAAATCCTAATTGAAACCTGGAAGGATAAGGCAAAAACTGGAAAGGACCATTCCAGGCAGAGGAAATAGTACAAGGGACCTAAGCTAAGAACGAGTTTTGCATAATCTATTGAAAAGCAACTGTACCAAGTCTACAATAAGGGAGGTATGAAGCATTATGAGATGAAGTTGGGCACATAACCAGAAGCCAGGTAGTATGTTAAGGCTAGAACAACTATCTGCAGCTCTAATCCTTCAAATGAATCTTTAAAGTCTATTAGGTGAAAATAATAGTAATTGCTCCATTTCATATTCAAAAATTGGCATTAAATATCTTTATGTGGTGTTCAATGCCTTCAGTGCTAGTGGCCTACATACAGAGTTCCAGGCCAACCAGAGCTACACAGTGAGGCCCTCTTTACAAACAGACAATGAATCAAGCTGTTATATGTGTTCATTCCCAAAGTTACTGTGGCTCTTGGGTTTGGGCCAAAGCTGATCTTGGGCAATCTTAGTGAAAACAGGTCTAAACTGTTAGCTCTGGACTAACAGTTCAGGTGATGAAAGCTTAAACATCACAGCTAAAGTCAGTCTCCTACATCCATCTAATGTTAACTCAAATAAAGCCCAATTGGCCTACTCTGGGAGATTGGGGGCTTTCAAAGACATGCTCCATGTTGGTACAGCTCAAAGAACGCCCCTAAAAATCAGCCCATCCAGGAGCAGGACAAACTAAACAAGGCATTTAACCCATACAAGATTTCTCAAATGGTTAACCCATTCTTCCTCTTGGGATTTAGACAACATTCTGTACCTTTGCATATCAAAACATTCTAGCATTGATTTCAAAGTTGTCTTTTCTTTTTTGGCCTCAAGTCAGATCTGTTTTAACAACAACAACAACAGAAAGATGTGGCAGAATGCAAGAAGGCAGTGCTCTGGCATCCTAAGCACGCTCTTTACTTTCACTTAAATACTCACATATCTTTTATTATTATTATTATTAAGTTTTTCAAGACAGGGTTTCTCTATGTAGCTTTGGAGCATGTTCTGGAACTAGCTCTTATAGACCGGGCTGGTCTCAAACTCAGAGAGATCTGCCTGCCTCTGCTGGGATTAAAGGTATGCACCACCACTGCCCGGCAAATACTCTCATATTTTTTTAAATTGTAATTAATTTGTGTGTGTGTGTGTGTGTGTGTGTGTGTGTGTGTGTGTGTGTGCAACAGTCACCGGTGGAGATTAGAAGACCACCTGTGACAGTCTGTCTCTCTTTCTGATGTGTAAGTCCCCAAAACTTAACTCAGGCCATCAGGCTCAACAGCAAGCACCTTTGCCCACTCAAGCCATCTCATTGGCTCCAGTTCTCACACTATACTATCAGACAGCTAATGTCAAACACACGTTGGCCTCTGGTACACTCAGGAATGGGGAACCTGAACTGAGGAACTGCCTCCATTGAATGGGCCTGTGGGCATGTCTGTGGGGCAATCTCTTAATTGTTAATTGATGTAGGAGAGCCCAGCCCACAGTGGGCAGATGGTCCTCAGTTGTATAAGGTAGCTGAACAAGCCAAAGAGAGCAAGCCAGTAAGTAAGCTGGGCTCCTTCATGGTCTCTGCTTCAGTTCCTGTCTTGTAAGACAAACCCTTTCCTCCCCACATTGGTTTTAGTCAGTATTTATCACAGAAACAGAAACCATTATGAAAATATGGGTCAAAGTTAGGCCTAATAAACACATGTGGAAACATGAAGATCTACAACAACAAACACATAAATCTGAGCTATAAACAGGATTGGTGAACCCATTTAATAAAACCGAAATAACGGAAGTGTAATATTACTTTTCTGTTGCTGTGATAAAAGACCATGACAAAAACAATAGATAGAATAAAGAGTTTATTTGGGAGTACAGTTCCTGAGAGTTAAGAGTCCATCGTGAAAGGAGGTGTGGGAGAGGCCAGGGAGGTTGAGAAGGAAGTTGAGAGTTCCTATCTTCAAAGGCAAGCATAAGCACAAAACAGACCATCCCCCAAACAGTGCCACAAACTGGGAATGTAAACATATGAGCCTATGGGGGAAGCATTCTCATTCAAATCACTATACAAAGTGATGTTAACCAAGTCTGGAGGGAAAAACAAAACAAAACAAAACAAAACAGCAAGTCCACTGATCTAAAAGAGAGAAAAACAGGGCTGGGGGAACAGCAAAGCTAGTCAAGTGGTTGCCACGCCAGCATAAGGACCTGAGTTCAGATCCACAAACCACAACAAAGCTGGATAAGATAGCATAGCTGTGGTGTGGTGAGAGGGAGGCAGACAGAAGAAACCTCACAAGCTTGAAGGCCAGTCTGGTGTACACAGCAGAGAATAACAAGAGATCCCATCCAAACTAGTTGGAAAGGGAGGAAAGGAGCCCCAAATCATCCTGACCATCCCACGTGTTCTGTGACCTCAGTGCAAGCATACATACATACATACATACATACATACATACATACATACATACACACACACACATCAAAAGAAAGAAGCAGTGAAAATAATATTCTCTACTAACCCAAGGGGGGGAAAGTCTGATCTAACCTAAGAGCTCTCTGAGCATTTAAAAACAAGGTGAAAAAAAAGCATCATTAAAATTAGCATAAACTGGACTTACTGTTTTGCCTGGTTAACATGAACTCCTAGTGTATAGCTTAACCACTTGTAAGTCACCTGAAAGAGGAAACATTTTTTAAGGTTTTATTAGATGATTACAGAGTACAGATAAGTGCCAAGAGCCTACTCCCAAAGATTCTTATTCTTGTATGATTATGTCCTGTAAACTACAATAGATAACAGTTAGAAAAACCATCTATGTGACAAGTAAGACCAAGATACTAATCTTACAAATACAGACTGATCGATGCAAAAGAATCTACACCCGGTACCAAACAGTGTCCATGGGCTCACTGTGACAAAGTTGCTTCACTTCCAGATCTGTCTCCATCGTTACACCAGCCCAGAGAGGCGGGGCAGGCAGAAAGCTTTCAATATTTAAATTTCCAGGAAGAGGAAACTGTGTCTGGAGGGTAAACCACCAGTCAGTAGCCCAGATAAAACGTCGGGTCTCCTCAACCGCTTGAGGGTGGGCCGCTTGAGGGGCCCACCACCCGACAGGACATGGGGGAGGGGGGCCTCACGAACTCTTGCCTGCTTCCCTTGCTCCACGCCCCAGAGACCCACACGTCCGCCCAAGGCCCGCGAACTTGAGAGCACGCGGGAGGCTCTGCCCGCAGGGACTGTCTCCCACCCGAGGGTGCGTCGCGGTGACCTGTGCCCCCCTCGACCTGTCCCCAGGAAGCCACAAGCGCCGGGGTCGAGACCCCCGGCGCCCTGGCAGGCCCAGGACCCCTCACATCCGCCCCGAACACGCCTGCCCCCTAGTCCTAGTTCCTCACGATCTTGTTCTGGTCCGTGACGAACTCGTCTATGTTTTCCAGATACAGCTGTTCCGCCATGGTGGTGCAGCTCCGAGCCCTTGGCTCAACCACAGCCACAGCTCCCGCCGGCGGGAAACGGATTCGCTCACTCCCAGGTCGCGGGTCGTCTCCCACGGCAACCGAGGCGACGCGCTACGGCGGCGGACGAGGGCCAAACCACTGCGAGTCCGGAAGGGAGTGACGTAAGGGAAACTGGATGTAGGACGGAAGTGAAAGGTGCGAGCTTGGTTGTCTGTGTGCACCAGGGAACTTTCCAATCTCTCCTTTGTCACTGGTATACTGACTGACCCAGGACCGTTTGTTTTACCGCTCTAAGCAAGAGTTTTTCCGCTTGGAACGTGAGAAAAATACCTCTTGTTGTCTAGCACTGGAACTCAATGGTAGCTCACTTTCCTAGCCTGGGTGGTGGTGTGAACTAAACGCTTGAAAAGAAGCCATGTCTGCAGAGACTGCTTGGCTGATCAGCATTTCTGTAATTTGGAGAGATTGGAATGTTGCAGGTCCAGAGACTAATTACCTTATCTTGGCCTAGTTCTAGCCCTCTGGAACAGCCCTTTCTTACCCACTTCGGAATCGGAATTATCACCTTGTGACTTAATGGATGGAAACCTTTTCGAATCGGTTAAGTTAGCAGACCACTAGCTTCCACCAATCTAAAAGCTAAGAATTGTCATCAGATAGCATCTTGATCCTATAGGAAAGCTTCCCCCATATTGACATACCTGCCTCTCTGAATGTATTTTAAACTTGCCTTGATTTGTGGCTTTCATTGCTCTGTAGAATTATAAAACTTCATGAAAGTGTTCCCACATTGGAACATGGAGTTTGGGGTACCCAGGCCATGGTCACTCAAAATAGCTCCAGAATAAACTATCACTCATTCCCTTTAAGATGAGAGCTGTGCTTTTTGCATCGACAATGAGGTAAAATGTGATACCCCATCCTTGCCATTTGATACCTTTATTCAACAACAAAGATTAAATGGATGTTCTGTTCTAAGTGTTTCTCTAGCAGTGAGAAATAGTGACAGTGTGCCTGTTAAAATCCTTACAAGCCAGGCGTTGGTGGCCCACGCCTTTAATCCCAGCACCTGGGAGGCAGAGGCAGGAGGATCTCTGTGAGTTCAAAGACAGCCTGGTCTATAGAGCGAGTTCTAGGACATCCTCCAAAGCAATACAGAGAAACCCTGTCTCAAAACACCAAAAAAAAAAATCCTTCCAAAATAAGAGAATGGTGAAGGTTTTCCGGAGGGGTCTGGGGAGAAAGACTCTCTCAGATTGCTCTAGCTACTCAAGTATTGGGAGAAAAGGCCAATGGGGAGAAAGGACTTTGGAGGAGCCAGGTCCTGCTGTGCCTACTAAGCTGTGTAATGGGGCACACCATCTTTATTCCTAGGAAAACATCATTAGATTAGAAAATTTCTACTTAAGTTTTTGCCAACAATACACACACACACACACACACACACACACACACACACACACACACACACACACACCTTCCTTAATAATAGCCCCCAGCCATTGTAGTTCAATCCTGTAGCATAGTGGATAAGAAATAGACTGTGAGCTGGGTAGTGGTGGTGCACACCTCTAATGCCAGCACTTGGGAGGCAAAAGCAAGCAGATCTTTGTGAGTTCAAGGCCAGCTTAGTCTACAGAGTGAGCTCTAGGACAGCCAGGAATACACAGAAAAACCCTGTCTTGAAAGAGAAAAGAAGAAAGGAAGAAAGGAAGGGAGGGAGGAAGGAATGAAGAGAGGTTGTGGAGGTAAGCTGACTGGTCTTGAATTCTGGTTCTGTTATTTTGTGCTCTTTGGTAAGTTATTTAGCTGCTGGGAGTCTGTTTATTCATCATAAGATGGAAGTAATAACTTCAAGAGTTAGCTGCAATACAATTTTATATAAGACATAATTGGCAAAAGCCTACAAAGGACACATTACTGTTCTCAGTGCTGGGATGGTGGATTAGAGCTGAGGTCAAGAGGACACATGTAGCTTACATTCACCAGAGAGATATAAATTTGGAGGAGGCGTGTTTTAAAATATGGTGTGGTTTCAGGCATAGTGGTGTGCACTTTTAATACCAGCAAAGGCAAGCTGATCTCTGTGAGCTGGAGGCCAGCATGGTCTACCTAGCAAGCTCCCACCTAGCCAGAGCTCCATAGTAAGACCTTAGTCAAAACACAAACTAACAAACAAAATATGATAGGTGTAGTGAAATCTGAAAAGACTGCATGATTTAGGTTTTCTTTTAGAAGCAGGGAAAAAAGCTGCTAATTAGAGGAGGGGAGTGTACGGAGGATAGGAAACCTAGAGAGTGACAAGATTAGGGACCTAATCTTTAGGTCAACAGGAGTTTCTTGGAAGACGTGAAAAGACTTGGTGAAGAGCAGGTGAGAAATGAAATCATTCTATTTGGTTGGAGTTAAGAATGAGATAACAAAGTCTTCCAACTGTGCCCGCCACAGCCACACTAATAATAGTTGGCAGCTACACCATTACATAACAAACATATCGAGCAGGTGCTTTTAAAATAATAGTTCATTTAGCCTCATAGAAACCCAGCAACTGGACTGTGTGGGTTTCCTAGAGAACCATAGCTAGCAAATGCCAGTAAATAAACCTAGGACCATGTTAGGGGGATTAGAGTTTAATCTACAAATTCACTGAAAGGTTTTAGGGTCAAAAATAAACCAGAGAAGAGTATCCCTTGGGATTTTCCCTCCCACAAATGAAAGATGAAAGGAGTCTTTTAGTTTGTGTATATTCCTCAGATAACAATTATTTATTGAGCACCTAGTGTGAGATGGGTGTCCCTAGTGTCGACCCTAATCCTCAAGTAGCCTTGTTAGATTTTAGCATCCCTTCACATATACACATACAAAAGATGATTTCCTTTTTGAAATCAGCTTGTGCTGTTAATGGAAAGAGTGACTATGAAATAACCTGTACGGACTCTGAGAGAGGGTTTGCTTAAATAAAAACAATTTTAAGTATGATCTTGGGACTGGTGAGATGGCTCAACAGGTACAGTGCTTGTAGTGCAAGCCTGATGACTTGAATTCAGTCCCAGGAAGCCTTGTAGGGATGGAAGCAGAGAGCTGACTCCACAGAGTTTGTCCTCTGGTCTCCACACACCATGGTACATGCAACACCCCCCCACACACACACACACACATCCACACAATAATTAATAAATACAAATTTTAAATTACTGTCTTTATAATGCCATAACATCAGCATGTAATAGACTCTCAAGTGTATTTTGATTTAAGTCTAGTTACAATGAAGGCAATGAGATCTAAGTGGAAAATATTGTTGAGAAAGGAGAAGTGAGGCATGCCCACTATGATTTACCATTCACTGGTAAATCACCAGTGACAGGCACCACGACAGACTTCGTACTTAAATCTTCTCAGGTAACCTCTTCAATAATCTAGGATGTAAATGTTACCTGCATACTAGTATACTTATTGTACAGATGTTGCACAACTTAAATCTTTGTCTCAACTTTATAGAAATTGTTCACAATTAAGCCGGGCATTGGTGGCACACACCTTTAGTCCCAGCACTCGGGAGGCAGAGGCAGGCAGATCTCTGTGAGTTCGAGGCCAGCCTGGTCTCCAGAGCAAGTACCAGGATAGGCTCCAATGCTACACAGAGAAACCCTGTCTCAAAAAACAAAAACAAAAACAAACAAACAAACAAAAAAGAAAAGAAAAGAAAAGAAATTGGTCACAGTTAAGTAGTTTGCTCCAAACCATATAGGTAGTAAGTGATAGAGATGTGTTTCTATCCCAGGTATGCCTAAAGCCCACTTTCTCACACTGTGCTTGCTTCAGTGGTAGCACTGAGCTGCCTTTTGCTCTCTTCCTTGTTCTTTTATTTTTTTTCTTACAACTGTTTGACTTTTTACAGATCTACATATTTTTTATAATCAGAGAAAATGGGAAAGTGAAGCAGTTAGCAATGTAAAATCAATTCATTGTCTTCTCCCAGATATCTAAAGCGTATTTTTGTTTGTTTGTTTGTTTTGTTTTTTGTTTTGTTTTGTTTTTTTGTATTTGAAACATAAAATGCAAAATCTTTGACATGCAGTGGTGGTGCACCCCTTTAATACCAGCATTCAGGAGGCAGAGGCAGGAGGATCTCTGTGAGTTAGAGACCAGCCTGGTCTACAAGAGCTAGTTCCAGGACAGCCTCCAAAGCCACAGAGAAACCCTGTCTCGAAAAACAAAAATAAAAATAAAAATAAAGCAAGCAAAAAGGAATGGAGCTACTGTTTCTGCCCACACCTTCTATTCCTTTAAACAACAAACAGAACTCTTTCTCTTTCTGTCTTAAGGGTTAAAGCTTAATATCAGTGTGTCTTGCTGGGAATATAACAGTTCTCTAGAAACCAGAACCAGCAGTCAGCCTAAGAATCAAGGGCGGCCAGACAAAATTTAGGGTGTCAGTGTCAGGTGACACCAGCAGTGGGAGCCAGAGGATCAAAACTCAGCCTAAGGTTGCCATCAGCAATGGAAGGCTGATCATCCTTTCACTCCCTTTTCATCCCCAGAATGGTTGGCAGCAGTGAGTACCGTGACTCTGTCAGGGTCCTGAGTGGGAATATAGACAGTTCAGCAGGGTGAAAGCACTCTACTTACATGCAGTCAGGATCCCAAGACCTGGTTATGGGGAAGGGGACAGGCCTTTGATAGGAAGGGGAGGCCTGGAGTGGTGCTCTTAGGAACTGCACCCTGAGCTCCAGGACTGCCCCAGGTATGGAGATAGCAGGGTGACAAAAAGTTCAAAATTAATAACCATGGTTCAAGGGTTACATAAGTTACCCAAGGGGCGTTCCAGAGATTAAAGACAGGTCTTATTGACACAAAAGTATCAGGTAGATATTATTGCATTAAACACCTGTTGCTTGTATACCAGGTCTTGTATGACCAACAGAGACACAATGAGGTCTTCATCTTAGAGAGCTTACAGTCTGGGATTACAACTGGAAATAATATTAGAGCATCACCTAGTGCCACAGGAACCCAAAGGAGGTGACTATACAAGCTTAAACATGAGAAATGAGGAGACAACTTTGAACTTGGGTATCTGAGGCTAGACAAAAAGTAAACTCAGAATATTATCTTTATTATGCCTCTTAACAACACATAACAAACCCACATTTCTCTTTTCAAAAAAAAAAAAAAAAAGGTTCTTCTGGGGGCTAAAGAGAAGCATTATCGGCAGTTAAGAGCACTGGCTGCTCTTCCAGAGGACCTGGGTTGGATTCTCAGCATCCATATGGTGCTTCACCACTGTCTGTAATTCCGGGTCCAGGCAACCTGCTGCTCTCTTCTGCCTCTGTGGGCACTGCATACAAGTGGTGCACAGATATACAAGCAGGCAAAGCACACATAAAATAAAATTAAAAAATAACATGTTGTAGATCTGCTCCTGTCCTTGTGGGGCTTGGAGAGTACTTTGGAAAGACCACATTGTAAGAGAAAATGAGCAGGAACCCCCGTTTGGAGAGGTCCAGTAGGCTGCTGAACATGCTTGTCCTTAGGTACAGGCTTGATTAGTAACCTGACAGTTATACAGGCAGTGAGGCAGATTAGGTCACTCAATGGCACTGAAGACTGAACCTTAGGGAACACCTCCAGTTAAGAGACAATGACAAAGAGGCCAGAAAAGGGAACTGAAAGGGAGAAGGAGCCAAAAGGGCTTACATGGAAACAAAAGAGTCACCAAAAGTCCCACTGCCCCTACCTGAATAACTGGGAGGGTCTGAGAGGAATACACTGAGTTTGGTGGTTAGAAGGCCTTTGGGGACATCAGCCATGGAGTGGGGGCTCCATAGCTAGGGCCCTGTGAAGTAAGAAGAGGAGAAGTAGGAAGACC